TTGGGTCAAGCAGTAACTTAATGAGACCTGTCCCAAAAATGGGATGGAGATGTTTAAAATGGGATGGAGATGTAGCTCAGTGCAAAGGCCCTGGGTTCAATTCCTCAGGACTGAAGAGAAAAAAAGAAGAAGGAAGGAAGAGAGGGAGGGAGGAAGGAAGGGCAGACTGATTTAAATGACACCTTGAACACTTCCCTAAAAGGCCCATGAAGCTGCACCCCACCCTCATCCTCCATGCGCAGTGCTCCCCTGTAAAAAGGCCTTGTGGTCAACAGAGGTTTTAACAGCCTTCCCTTCACTGGAGCCAACCTGAGGGAACTCACCCTTCATTTCAGATCTGAGCCCCTTTCTCCAGCCTCACCTCTGCCCTAGGACTTTGCTCTCAAATTCAGGCCTCTCTCTCCCTCCAGCATCTTCCTGTCCATGGGCTGAGACGCGGACCCTCACCTCCCTCATCCCGACCACAACGACACCTGAGCCTGTTTGCTGTTGCTGAGAACACAGCACCATGGACTGGGAAGTCGGGAGAGAAAGGAGATTTGCTTTGGCTCCTGGTTCTGGTGCAAGGTTCAGGCGTCACATCTGGTGATGAGTCCCAAGGTCACAATGGGCGTCACATTGAAAGAGACTCATCCAGCTGGCTTTTCCAGCAGCCTCTCTCCAGACGACCAGTAGCCATGAGGTCCTGAATGGATGGACCCAAACCCCTCCTGGGGACAGAGGCCTAATCACCTGTCCAAGCTCCACCCTGCACCCTACTTTAACATTCACAATGGAGATTAAATTTCACTTAAAGTTTCAGAGCTGACAAGTCATATTCAGCCACAGCACATCAGGCAGACCCCACTGTGACCCACACACAGTCCCTCCTCCCATGGGTAGCAGCCTCATTTGGATGCCATGGACTCCAGGCCAAACTCTCAGGAGCGTCCTGATGGGCTAAGCAAAACCCTGGGAAGCCATTTCTGACCAGTATGGTGGTTCCCAGGGGAGGTTCCCAGGCCTGTGTCAGCACAGGCTGCTTCTAGCACAGTGACAGGCTTCTGGGTCTCCAGCTGGGGAAAAGCCCAGGACTACAGTGATTGCCACAGGGAGGAGGTAGCAAGAAAAGAATGCATGAAATTAAGGGGTCTCATTCTTGTTTAAAGTTTCAAATGTCTAGGCCTGGATATCATGAAGGAAGCATATGTGAAGTCAATCAACAATACCCAGTTGCACAGGTTGGACACTGCACAACCCTAGGAATAAATTCATATTTGCACAAGCATGTGTGGCAGAGTGGGGTGTTGTGCCAGGCAATATCATAACATGAACACAGAGGGGTCTGTGAAGGTTGATTGATTGTGTCAACTTGAGAAGATTAGTTAAGAGAAACTTAACTAGATCAGTTTAGCAGTTGCACACCCTAGGCCTGCTCATTGCTTGGATGATATAAAGGGGAAATGAGGAAGGAGGGATCTGCTTCTGTTTCTTTGGAGGAGCTCCAGTCTTCACTTTCTCTTGGATGTCACCTGACTGCCGCAGACTCTTCAGCTTCCAGAGCAGATCCTTTCACCTTCCGGTGTAGACTCTTCAGCCTCCCATTGCAGACCATCGGCCTCTTGATACGGACTCGCACGGCCACTGTTGTGAGCTCCAGACCTTGAGCCGGATCCTTTATTCTCCAGTGGGCAGACACCCTCTGCATGCTTCCTCATCCGACTCTTGGGTGACTGTTGTGAGCCAATCTTGTAGATTCTTATGCATTCATATATCTTGTTATATCTGTTTTTCTAGTAAACCCTGTGTTATGATTTGTGTCTGGGTGTCCCCCCAAAGCCTCATGTGGTCATGGGGCAGGCTTTTAGAGTTTGATTGATTATGGGTGTGAGAGCTTCACCTGTCCTGGGGTGGATAGTTTGTATATGTAAGGGAGAGGAAGAGGCTGCTTGTGGCCATTCCTCCCTTTTAGTGCTTGTTGCTTTTGCTGTGTTCTGCTGCCATGAGCTGTAGCCCTCTGCCATATGTTGCTCTGCCTTGTAACCTGCCAAGTATGGACTGAAAGCTCCACAAACTGTAAGCGAAATAAACCTTTCCTTCCTTAATTTTGGGCGTCAGGTATTTTGTCCCAGCAACGAGAGAAAAGTAACCAAGACACCCTGATACAGGCTCCCACAGACAGGGTGATGGGGAGACCCAGAGGGGGAGTTCTGAGTCCTGCTGCTCTGTAGAGCTGTTGAGACAGGAAACACCATCAGTCACCTCAGGGCAGTATCGGGTCTGAGAGCAAAAGGACATCTGAAACAAGATGATGGAGCCTGAGAGTTCAAGCAGCAGTGTTTGAACTTCATGGTGCTTCTTTGATCTAAGGCATCTTAAATGAGATATGATGCAGTCTGTGTAATTGGAGACCAAGGAGCTCACTGCAGGAGAGGGGGCAATCAATCCAGGTGCTGCACTTTGGGAGCAATGGGGGGTGAGCAGGAGGAGGCAGAGTGGGTACAAAGCAGGGGCTAGCGAGGCAGGAGGAAAACTCAAGGGCCCTAGCATGGGAGGAACGGGAGGAAGGGGTTAGGCACATTATGATAAGCACAGGAAAACAGAAATAGGAGCTGGTGATACGAAGGAGCACATTGACGGTATGGGAGAGAACAGAGAATGTGGCAGTCATAGGAGCAAGAGCTGGGTTCCACCCTGGAGGGGAGGCCTTGGATTTGGCTTTAGCAGGCGTACACAGGTGAGGTTTCCCCAGACAGAAAGCCCACACAAGATACCTCTCCAATACCTCCATGTTGACTTATGCAACCCTGAGCAGGCAGAGTCCACCCAGACTTCTGACAACAGAACCGTGAACTAATACTGGGGGTTGTTTTAAGCCACACAGTTTGTGTAATTTGTTACACAGCAGTAGGAAACTAATACACTTGGCCTATTTGCAAAATGAGGCCCATTTGCAAAATAATTCCATCCTCAAAGGGTTATATGAGAATTAAAAGTTAACACCCTTGGGCTGGGGATTTAGCTCAGCGGCAAAGCGCCTGCCTGACAAGCGCAAGGTCGTGAGTTCGGGTAAGTTAACACCCTTAAGCGTGTAAAATGATAATAGGGGCTGAGCATTTAGCTCAGTGGTGCAGCACCTGCCTGGCAAGCATGAGGTCCTGAGTTCAATTCCCAGGACCCAAATAAATAAATACATAAAATGATAATAAGCACCATCTCCACATATTGACTATTATTCACATGTGCCATTGAGCTGGTAGAAACCTCAGGAGATGTGTGGTGGGGTATTTCAAAGTTTCCCTTCCCCTGCAGTATTTGAATTACAGACCACAATTAAAAGTCTAGAATTTAAATAAGTGAATCACTCACTAACTATGCAGCATCTTTTAAAAACAGTGCTTATGAATAAGGTGCACAGTCATAAAATGTTACTTAACAGACCAGAACGTGATAAAACAGAAAGATGTCAGGAAATAGAAAGCAAAAGGCAGGAAGTTTGGAACTCAACCATTCCACAAGTATTTAACAAATGTGCACCCCATGCCAAGCTCTGACACAGCAGGAAGAAGACAAGACACAAAGGGCCTCTGTTCTCCCGAAGCTTATATTCTGGTGATGAGACAGATGATAAGCACAGGAAAACAGAAATAGGAGCTGGTGATATGAACTAAGAGAAAAATTAGCGTGAGGTAAGAGAAGGATGTGAGACAGACAGCCATTGGGACAGAGATGGGTGGAGAAAGTGCCAGGGAAGAGCTTGAAGCAAAAGCTAAATGCCATGAGGAAGCTGGGCGGCTGGGGACGTGACAGTGACATGATCCTGTTTGAATTCCCCAAGGGTAACTCTTGCTGCAAATGTGGAGGCTGTGTGTAGGATCAAGCCAGTTAAGGGGTCCAGCTGGGTATCCAATCTGTAGCAGAAATGGAAAGATGAGGCCCTATTGGCACCATGTGGAGGCAGAGCAGTTGAATGGATTGGGTTTGGGGGTCATGATGGAGAGAGAATAACCCGGCATCTCTGTTAGGTTTTTGGTTGGGCAAGTGAGTCACTTACTGAGAGGGGAGGGTTGAGAGGGAGGACAGTGTGGGCTGGGAGGCAATCATGGGCTCTCTTCTGGCCTTCTTTGTTGAGACAGGCTCATCAGACCCCAGCTGGAGATGACGCGTGAAGATGTTGGGGAGCCTGGGATGCTGGGGATAAGTCTATGTTCAAGGCAGGTGGAGAGTCAATGTCCTAGAAATGTAATTAAAGACCCAACCTGGATGACAGAGAGATAACATGTACCTAGAGCTGAGAAGAGAAGGGAGACCAGTACTCTCCACCAGTGAGTTCAGAGGAAAACCAAGAAAATCAGGGCTCAGAAGCTGAGGAGTGAAGATTCCAGAAGGCAGGAGAAGCCCAGACCTGTAATGCTGAGAGTTCCTGGTGTGCTGGCCTGGCTTTGGGGAGGCTATGGTGGCCTGGGAGATGTCACTCTCAGCTTCTACATCAGGGACACAGGAGCCTGGCTACAGGGGGTGGGGAGGGAATACAGGGTGCAGCACCCCCAGATGACCCTGGCACAAAAGAACCAGAGAAATGGGACACAGAATTCCTCAAGGCCTCACCAAGTACAGTGACATCATTTCAGTGGCTGAGACCCGGTCGCGACCTGTCAACTTCTGAGTTAAGTAGCTGTTACGAGTGTTCCCACTGTCCGGAGCACGGGGATGGCATCTCAGGATGGAGTAGGTTCTGAATATCATTCAGCCCAAATGTGTCAGTGATGTTTGGGGTTAGTTTATGTAGTCTGGTAAGACTGACTATTTTTCCAGAACGTTAACACAAAAGACATAAAGCAAAATTATTACTAGGAAGCCAAGGCAGTTACTGTTCTCCTTGGTTGGCTAACAGGAAGAATTTATGAATGGTTTCTTTCCATTGCAAGCAGCACCAGATGATAATCTTCATCATTTTACATGATTCAGTGTAACTAGGAACTCTCTTAGGCTTGATAACTGACCAAACAAAACCCTTCATATCTAAACAATTCTTTGGTTTAATGCGGGCTGCCCACAGAGAGGATGGAGCTCATTCTCTGATGGACCATCTTGATTCATGGTTGAGTGATTTAACAGCTTCTTTATTTTCACTTCATTATTCCGTGCCCCTAGTGATTCCTTCAAAAACACTACAAAGACACACATACCCCCAAGCAATCTGAGTTTGCACCTTGAAAAGCTCATTAACTAAAAACTTGAACTATATTGAAAGGAAATTACCCTTCCCTGTGGCTGCTGATGGGCTGTTGAACTTCTCCAGATGTGAACATGGGCATTGATCCATCGTAGCTCTTGAGGGAAGCTTGTGAGTTCAACACCAGCCACCATAATGAGGGTTTAAGAAGTTCCCAGGTGGGCGCTCCCAGGTGCCACCCACCCCCAGCAAGGTGAGAAGGGGATCAGACGGGGACCCCCAGGTCCTGCCACCCCCGTTCAGCCCACTGTCACAAGACCTGCCTGTACTTCCTCCCTGGTCCCTGCCCACCAGGCTCCACCACCTTCCTTGAACTGATTCTTTCACTTTTGTGATGACACAAAGCCACAGAACAGATTGGGCTGCTAAGCTACTGTGCTTCATATCTGCATAGCTTCGTGGATCCAGGTGGGGTTTAAGGGTTTGTCCCCGAGTCAAACAGACTCAGACTGGAACCTGACTCCTCAATTCAGTGGCCTTAAGAACACACTGGCACAGAGCTTCTATATCCTTGTGTGAATGGAGAAGAGCTGAGGTCACAGGAGAGAGTCCTCAGTCAGCATCTAGTGCTCAGTCAGTGAGATGATGCAGATGGAGTGAGTAGCAGTGGGCCGAGTCTTAGCACTGGCAAATGCAGCTCTGTGTCCCGGACATGTTGTCCTTTTGTCTAATAGCCTCCTTTTTAGGTGCTTCATGTGGCCTTGGCAGGCTTGTCATCCCCTGTACCTCCCACCCCACACAATCCATCGTTAGGGCTGGCTGCGTATTTCTGGAACACACGTCTCTCTCATGAGAAAGCAATCTGTCCCGGCAGCACGGACTGCCTAGTGGAGCAGCCCCTGAGTATTACTCTGACCCTGGGTGCCTGTCTTTCTGGCTTTCATCTTCAAAATGACTTCCCGGTCTCAATTAGCTACTGGAACTCCAGCCAGATAATTCATATTCTCCATGCACACAGTAAGAAGAAGTGAAGAAGGACAAAAACATGTGTAGCACATTCCCATCTGCACCACTGTGGAGCTTTACTGAAACTTCACCATGACGTCTCCACCATACGTAAGACAGTCATATGGCTCTTCCCAGTTGTAAGCTAGTCTTGGAAATGCAAGAGCAGAAGAAAGAGGTCAGGTAGGAACCAGCAATGTCTGTCATGGCATGGGACCCAGGTGGGCCATCAGTGCCCATAGGACACTGGAAAAGAGATGGTCCGTGTTGCTTATGGGTGGAGGGACACAAGCGCATCACACAGAAGGCGCAACCAGTGTGATCCAGGGATAGAAAAAGGCTTGTCAGGAGGGAGGACACCGCTGGGCTTTACTGGGTCACATCACCCCTTAATTTGAATGCATTTGAGTAGGGCTAATTCAAAAACCAAAGTGATTACTTTTATTGTAACGAATGGGTTGCTCTATGTATCTATTAATAATGATATTAGGTGACCTCAGAGACTCCTCTGGACGCATTATTCGTGCTGTTCCCTTGCAAGGTCTGAGAACAAAAGCATCTGTGTCTTCCCACACCTGGTAATTTCTCATCCATCCCCTCACCCCAAGAAAATACCTCCGGAGTCCTCAAGACCTGATTCCAATGTCCCCACCCTCAACTCCTTCCATCCACGGGTCCCTAAATGTCTTAATGATCTCTCACACTTCACTGCAATCCTTCCCCTCCCACTAGACTGAAAGGACCTGGAGGGAAAATCCCATTCCACCCCCACACACTCCTACGTGTGACCTTTCTGTCTGTCATGGGGTGGTTGAGTGAACAGCCAGTGGACTGGGGTTTGGTTTAAATGCAAACTATCCAGACAGGAGTCCTCTAACCAACTGCTGCTGGTTGTGAACCACATCCCACCTCCGCTGCTTCCTGGAGAAAAGAGAGATAATGACGGTGACATCTCTCTCAAGGGATCATTCACAGGGCGTGATGCTTAATGAGATCTCAGGGCTGAGCACCCATATCAGGAGGGTTTCGCTGTATACCGTTGACTCTGACACCCACGTTTCTTCCTCACACTGCAATGGCCCTTTCACTGTATGGTATACTGTTTTTAATGGGCAGGGTTTGCATGTTTGCAAAAAAAATTCCTGCTGTTTTTTAATTGATGTTGCTTAGAAATTAATGGGTTTGTTTTCAGGAAAGGAAGAGATCAGAAATTCAGGACCTCACAAAGCTAGAAATGTCAACTGCATATGAATTCCAAGTAGGAAGAAATGAGAACCAGTTAACTTTAGTGTGCCCAAGGCCCATAGTGGCTCAGAAAGAGATGAGGAGGCTTGGCTTAGATAAAAAGAGAGTTACCAAGGGATCAAAAAACAAAGGAGAAAAATGAAGCAAGTCTGAGACTTGTGTCTTGACAAGAACTCAGACTGATTGCAGCCATGTAGAACTGACCAGAAACAAGCAAATCAGAAGTAGACTGGGTTTTCTGGTACCTGAGTTGTCAAAGAGATCATAGACTGAGAAGCATTTTATGCACAGTGTGGAATATTGCATAGCCACAAAAAGAATGAAGCATTAGTGCACTCTACACTGTAGATGAACTTTGAAAATGTTGTGCTACAGCAGTATATGTGCATCCATGTTTATAGCAGCACAGTTTGCCATAGCTAAATCTTGGAAACAACCCAGATGCCCATCCACTGAGAAATAGATAAAAAGGAAGTGGTATTTTTATACAATGGAGTATTACTCAGCTATTAAAAAAGATAATCTTGAGGATTTTTTAGGTAAATGGATACAACTAGAGACCATACTTATAAGTGAAATAAACCAGATCCAGATGGGTAAACATCATATTGTCTCCTTGGTGCAGGAACTTGAAAGACTAGGTAAAACTCAAAACATACAATAGATGATAGGAAAGGGAAAGAAATTGCTCAAAGGAAGGAACGACTGGGATGAGGGAAAGAAGAAAAAGGAAAGAAGGAGGCAAACTATAATTATATATATGAATAGCTGTGATAACTGTATTGCTGATATCTGATGGTGTATTCAAATGAACAGTTAGTGCTTACAATTTTTTATGTTCTGATCGATTGTGCATGCTTGTGTCTGGTGGTCTGAGCAATTGATTTGAAGGTAACAATATGCAGTGGAATTACAATGGTGAACTCCTACCATCTTGTCTAGTGAAACTCTGTATTATCTCTACTGTTTTATGGAAGAATTATTTTCTTATTCCCTATACTGGTTTGAGCAATCTTTCATTCTTACATCTGGTGATCTGAGCAATATAGTTGAGGATAGAGATATGTAATGTAACAACCACTGTTGATTTGTATTATTCTGTCTTGAGACTCTGTATCACATTAAATGTTCTTGCTTTGATTTGTTTATGTTTGTGACACTGGTATGCTGCTACTGTTCTATTTCTTTGTTTGTTTGTTTCTCAGCTACTACTCTCCTTAAAATAAAAAAAAAAATTTTTTTTTAATGTGCTAAATGAAAGAAGCCAGACCCAAAATCACACAAGCTGTGTAATTGCATTTATATGAAATGTCCAGAATACGTTGGCCCACACAGATTGGAAGTAGTTTAGTGATTGACAGGTGCCAAGGGGCTGAGGGAACAGAGCAACTACTTAATGGACATGGGGTTTCCTTTTGGGGCAATGAAAATGTTCTGGAACCAAATAGAAATGATTACATAACATTGCTGTGTTGCTCAATGCCACTGAATTGTTCGTTTTTAAATAGCTAATTTTATATTATGTGAACTTCAACTAAGTAAAGTTTTTTGGCTATTCCACTGTGAGCCCGCCCCCTCCAGCCTTTCAGAAACAGGAAGTGGGCTGGGAGAGCTGTGCAGCTGCAGCCAAAAGCGTGTGCCCAATCCCATGTCATAGACAAGCGGCCGAGGGACGGGAAACAGAGGAGCCTCCAGGGGTACAAGCCAGAGCCCCAAAGAACGATGGGTGGGAGAGTCGCAAGGCAGGACCTAAAGACTGGGGAAACTGCTGGCCTGGGCACTCCTGTGTGCTCTTGGAATGGCAGGGCTGTCATCACGCCGTTCCCAGCCCATGGCAGCCTCTGGACTATGTGCAAAAGCTGATGTGTCTTGTTGTTTTATTATCCGTTTATGGACCTCCAGGTCAAAAAAGGACACTACTGAAACCGCCGTCTACCACCGGAGACCAGGAACACTCCGCCAAACACAGCTCAAAGGAGAGCCTCGCCAGCAACTGCTGCTTGCCCAAGCCCACATCTTCCGCCTTTCGATCCTAGTAACCAAGCCCTTGCTTTTCAGCTGGAAGCAGGACAGCTCTTCCTAGAACAGTTTATATAGTTGTGCCCCCTGGAGCTGGGGACAGCCACCCACTAGGGAGGGCAGGAGAAGAGCTGGAAGGAACAAGTTAGTAAGGATAGGCAGCCCCAAGCTGTTCACCTCTGGGTTCTTGTACAGGGGAGGAGAGAACATCTTGCATTTGAGCCTTTGCTGTCGCAGGTTTCTGTTAAAGGCCACCGACCCTGAAGGTGACTGGCTCAGCGGACTCTCTCTGAGCCAACTCTCAGCACCAGACTACTAGAAGCTGCAGTGCAGCCTTATCATCGTCTGGCTTTGGTGGGGGTCCTCATTCTCCCCGTGATAGAGGCACTGACACGTGTAGCAGAACAGTCGCATATTGTCGTATCAGGAAATCACGGCAAGATAGTCATCCCTGAGCCTGGAGGCCACCTCCCCCGCCACTGGGCTTCCCAGAGGGACCTGTAAAGAGGGAAGGAAAGTGGCAGTGGAAAATGATTGCTGAGAACCTTTATTTTATGCAGGATGCTTCTTAGTATGTCCCAAGAAGAAATTCATGGAAATTTTAGAATTTGTTTTCAGATTGTTTTTGTTCTGTTCTCCTGTTGTAGCCAACTTCATCCTCTGATTACCACGGACAAGAGCTCTCACCAGCTTCTGCCTGACACTTACCTCATTTCCTCCTCCTCTTCCCCTCCTGCTCCTCTCCCTTCCTCCCCTCCTCCTTCCCCTGCAGCACAGAAGGCTGTTTTCGCAGAGGAGCTGGGATGATCAGAGCTGTCTCACGCCCAGTCTTAATGACACAAAGACAAGTTAGGAGGACCTCAAGGACGTCACTCCAAAATTGAGGCTGCTTCTTGCCCACGAGTGGGATTCAGGACAGAGGAAGCCGAGGCTCAGCCAGCTGCCTGCACACGCCAGCGCCCAGCTCCCCACTGGCTGCACAGCCCTAGGAATCCAGATGTTCTTTCCTGCAGACCCCAAGAGGCAGGCCTGCAGTTGCAGCGGCCCTGGAGGGGAAAATAACCCAGACTCCAAAAGTAAACTCTGCCAGCATTTACGCACTGATATCGGAACTGCTCGTTCTAACTCCCAGAAGAGCAGAGTGGTCTTAGCTCGCAGACGCAGTGAATGTGCCCGCGCCCTTCTGCCCATTCTCCCATGAAACAAGCACGCTTGAGGATGCAGGGAGCCCAGGGTGAGGAGGAGAAAGCGGCGCTGCCAGTACTGGGCACCGACTGCAGCACTGAGATCAGACCGGGCCACTGGCATGTGGTCTGACCTCTCCTAAAAAATAAAAGTAAAACATCATGTTTTCCGCAGAAACACAATGACACAGCACTTACGTTATTTGTTGACTTCTGTGTCCCCAGTATCTAGGTGCCTGGCGCATATTTTAGTTCACTGACGAGTGACTCTTGCTGTAAGCTTCCTCAACTGCTCACAATTAGAACTTCATCTCAGTTCACAGGTATTTTATTTTGAAGGTGCAGAGGCCCCCAGATGGGCTTTTATTTACAGTGGGGCTACGTCCCAATTAACCCATCCTAAGCTGAAAATATGGAAGGTCAAACACACACTCAACGCGTGTAACGTGCCAGACATGGTAGGGACACCACACACTGTACAGAGCGGTTGCTTCCCCTCCTGATCTCATGGCTGCCCAGGAGCTGCAACTCTGCCGCTGCCCAGCATCCTAAGAAAATGTTTTACTACGCTGCAAAAATTGATCAAAATTTGAATCTTGAAGTATAATTTCTATAGAATGCATAGCTCTTTTGCACTGTGTTAAAGTAGGAAATCAATTGTATGGATATGCCCTGTGAGGAGGCACCCTTCCTCGGCGGCCGTCCACTTGCTCAGCTTGCTCCTCCCTTGCTGCCCTGCTCCCCATGCTAGGGTCAACATGGCTTTTAAAAAAAGACAGAGGACATGGGGCCATGGACATGACCCCGAGGGACAGAGTTGCCAGTGAGCACAGATAAAGTTCCCTATTGCACAATCTGGCTTCAGCACAGCCATCTTCCTCAGACCTCTCCTCTGTTCCTGATTCCTCTACTTCCCAGGTTAGGGCTGCTAATGCTATAGGTCAGCGTCTGCGGGGTTAACTCCATCTGCAGTGAGCACCCCTGAGCAGACGTACAGTTTATTTATTTCTTGTCATTTATATCTAGGAAGATGCAAGGGCAGTTTGGAGTGTAAAAGAATACTTTGCACCCCATGTGTGCCGAGAAGTTGGGTGTTGCTTGTCTGTAAATTGTACGGGATTCTGGACTCTCTTCGTTACTTTTCTCCTCGCTGAGGCAAAATACCCAACACCCAAAGTTAAAAGGGGAAGGTTTATTTAGCTCACAGTTTGTAGAGGTGTGAGTCTATAATCAGTTGGCTCCAAGGCAGGTTGGTGTAGCAGAGGGGTAACAGTTCACAGCAGTGGAAGACAGCAAAAGCAACAAGGGAAAGAAAGGCAAGCCTCTTTCTGTCTCTCATACTGTATGCAGGGTACCTGCCCTAAGATGGGTGTAGCGCTCACACCCTTAATCCCAGACTGGACCATGAATCAATTACAAATTCTAGATTCAGCCACCTCTGAAAACTCCACCCCCCCACGACTGCGTGAGGCTTTAGGGGCACATCTAGACACAAACCGTATCAATCGAGAGTTATCCTAGATCTCCTCGATCCAGGAAGACAGGGAGGCCTAGAGCCAACCAAAGTGTGAAAAGCTTCTCTCTAAAACAGAAAAAAATAGATAATATACCATGATATGTACAGATGAACATGCAAGCAAAAGATACTGTAACCAAACTTTAAAACAGAAACTGAATCATCATTATCATCCCCACCCTCACATTACCTGTGTGGCTAACATGTACAAAGGTCTTCTCCCATCTCAGGCACTGGGCTAAGCAACATACATCTTCCCCTGTGATCCCTTGACAGGCAAGCACATTTCCTCATTTAGAAATGAGGAAACTGAGGCCCAGAGATGTTCTGTGGTTCACCCAAGGAGACACAGCACTGGCAAGGCAGGGACCCACTCTGTCTCCAGAACCTGGATTCCTAGCCACTCATTATGGTAGAGAAGGCTGAAGCAAAGCAGGACACCAGGCCCTGGCCGATGGAAAGAGACTTTGTCCAACCCCTGGCACTAAAGCAGGGTACAACTTTACCTCTCAGCATGGCCTGCATGCTTGTCTCTCTCACTCACCACAGTGTCCCCTGGCAGTCCCGTGCACACTCTGGACACTTGGGGGCTGGGGATTTAGCTCAGCGGCAAAAGCGCCTGCCTGGCAAGTGCAAGGTCGTGAGTTTGATTCCTGGTACCGGAAGAAAAACAAAAAAACAAAACAAACAAACAAAAAAAAACACTCCAGACACTCGGATGACAGCTGTGGAGGGGAATAGAAATGGCCCCGTTCCCAAGTTCATTTCATATGAATATCCCCAGGTTGCATTCTGTCCTTACATAGCAGGTTATGTGACTTCTAGTCCCCCAGACAGAAGCTACTGAGTTCCAATGTTGGCCTCCTTTTTGCTTAAGAGTAGGTGGAGTTGTGGGGTGTTGAATCTCCCCACCCAGTCAACCAGACTCATAAAACCCAAGGTGCCATTGAACCATTCATGAAACTGCCCTTGGCGTGAGGGGCAGACCTGGTGCAGAAGAGGGGTTTTCAGGTGTCCCTAGAACCATAAGAGGTGGAAAGGACTGGGAGCAGTGCATGCATTTGGATAAGGGTATGTATGCTGTTTCCCAACGTCCCTAGCAGCTAGAGCTAACCATGGAATACAAATTACCTTGAGTGGTACTTCCTAAAATGAGAAAAATCTTCATGTGTAGTGCCTTTTTACTCTTTTATTACCCACTGCTTTTCTTCTTGCTTAGAATTCAGATAGGATGGCAGAAGTTCTGGTACTTAACTTTGCACCCTAAGGGAAAGGCTGGAAAACCTGCAGTGTCTTCTGCTTTTGAGCCAAGGCCTGTGACTTTTACCTCCAGATTTTTCATAATATTGGGAAAATAAATCCTCATGTATTTAAGCCTCTTAGGTCAGGTCTGTTACCAACAGCTGAGCCTGGTCCCTAATAGCACATGCTTTGTGGGAGGTATCCTCTGAGATGCCCTCCAAGATCCCCATACCCTGGGACCCCCTTTTATGGGATCCCTACCCTTGAATCTGAGCTGGGATTATTACTCGCTCCCAATAGAGAAATTGGCAGAACCAATAGAATGTCACCTCTGATATTAGGTTATAAAAAGTCTGTGGCTTCTGTCTGCAGTGCTGGCTCTCTCTCATAGATTTCTCACCCCCAAAGGACACCAGCCTCCATGTCATGAAGCATCCCTAAGGGTTATGGGAAATTCAGGCCTGCAAATGACCACTTGAGCAAGCTTGGGGGAGACGGCACCAACCCTAGATGAGCTTCCAGAGGAGACTGCAGCCCTGGTCACCAACTTGTCTGCAACCTCAAGAGGGGTCTTCAGCCAAAACATCATGGCCAGATTCTAGACCCTCAGGACCTGTGAGAATGTGTACTTAGTGTCTTAAGCCTGATTACAGTAACTTGTATGTCCTTCAAACAATTTATTTGGGCCCATGTTCAAGTTCATGTCAGTTCAAAGTCTCCTACTGCATGTCTTAGCTCGCCCCATCTGCATGCGAACGCAGCCATACTCTACAGAGGGAGGAAGAGGGAGGAAAGGATGGAGAGAGGGAAATAATGACAGGGCCCATGTCTGGCTCACTTCTGTGCCATCTATACCCTCAATAAATGTTAAATAGAGCACACGAGTAAAGATAAGCAGAGAATTGCAGAGTGTGTCTTATCAGCCAACTATGACCAGATCATCAGGAATTTTACTTAAGTTGTCACTTCTAGTCCCAATTTTGTGGTGTACTGAAGACATCCTCCTGGAGGTCTTATTAAGTTTGAAGAGTGTTTCCCAGCACCCAACACTTATTTGGGGTTGTAAAAGTAAATAAACTTTAACTTAGCACCGCCCTCCACTACAGCCAAAAGCTACAAGTCAAATGAACAGGTTGACATTAAAAGACAAAATTCACCAATCTCCCCGATAATTTGTGAACTAATGCAGAAGGCAGAACTGATTTCACAATCAGTTTCCAGGGGGAACAATGATGGCAGCTGTTTGAGAGGCAATGAGAGGTCGTTCTTTCCTGTCAAATGCAGACAGGACCCTTATTTTAGTCCATCCAGTTTTTCATTTCATTATCCAAGACATTTAAATGGTAGCCTGAGGCAAAGTATAAGACATATTGTGCCTTAATCTAAAGCAGGTACTTTTTAAAGCTTTGCCGACAAATGATTGCTTGCCCAATTCTAGCTTTATATTGGAGGGGTTATGAGGAAAGGATTTTACAAAATAGAAACAGAAAGTACGCCGGCTAGAAGGGAAGGCTGAGGCAACAGGAAAGGATGGGTGAGTGACAGAGTGGGGGACTGGGCAGGGTCCCACTCTCTCCCCTGTTGGCCTTCCCAGGGAGAGCCCCAAGGATGAGCTGTCTGAAGGATGCACTGAATGTTTATAGTCCCCATTCCCTGGGGACACAATTCCCTCAAAAGCTATTTATGTGGCAAGGAAAATATGTTTTAATGTTCTCTCTAAATCTAGTTTTAAATCCAGAGAAAATTCTGTCCAGGATTCCTGTGTGATTTGCTTCGTTGCATGAAGCAGATAAATGGCCATCACCTGGCCCTTGTGGAGAGCTCAGAAAAAATTCTCTACCCAGCGGGGAGCCCAGGAGCATTAGCTCGTGTTTACGTTGGCAGTGCGCGGTTCCACCATTCCTTCAGTGCCTGACCTGTTTCTGCCATGCTTGCATCCCTCTCCAGCTCCAGGACAGATCTGCGCAGGTCTTTGCCTGGCATCATCTTCTGAACCTCTTAGAAAGAATTTTATCCTAAGAGGCAACACCCTGGAAATGTAAGTGGATTTTTCTGCTAGACTCAAAGGAGAAGAGCAGCTGACACAATTACTCAAGCCCCAATACTGAGGTCGAGAAATGATCTCTATATGGCTCTCGCAAAAGGCACAATGCTCAGGGAGACCGAGCTTGCACAGCAGAGGGAGCATCTCCCCATGGGGTCCCTCACCAGCCACTCCAAAGGGAATTCCTCGGTCACGTGGCTGCTTTGTTCCAGGCAACAGGCAAAGTCTTACAAGGGTGCATGTCCGCTAGTTGCTTTGGGTCAATTAGCAGAGATGACCCGCTAGCCAGAAGGACAGTCTTTTCCCCTGGGTCATTTGATCCCTTTACATGAGCCAGCAAGAAGAGAACTTCCCACACTCCCCACACACAGAGA